TGATGGTTGCACAGCAATGTGAATGTACTTAATGTCACCAAACCGGATGGTTAAAAATGATTAAGGTGGTAAATTTCAGGTTAGGTATATTTATCACAATTTAAAAAATAATAATAAAAAGGCTGGAATTGGTCTTGTTTCAACATTGGTGTCCCATTTAACACCTGCTTAAAACACCTTTAGCTTTCCCTCTACTAGAGATCGGCCATTGAGAAAGCAGTGCTGCTGACATATAATTCCCGCCTATTTATAAATCCGAATGATTCTTAGTCTCCATTAAAAAGAATAAATTTTTCCTCTTGCGTTTCAGATGACGAGTTCCAGTTATTACAGAGAAATTTCATGGACAAGTACTACCAGGAGTTTGAAGACACGGAAGAGAATAAACTCACCTACACACCTATTTTTAATGAATATGTAAGTGGATTTCTGTGTCTCTTACCAGAGACTAGGATTTCTTTAAAATGTGACTTTAGAATCAAAAGATGTTGAAATTTGCTCAACTTTTAAAATCTGCCGCTAGTGTCCTGCCAGGAATTCTAATTAGAATCTGGTTTGATTCTCATCTCCTGTCGTTTTCCTCCTCACGGTTCCTGGGGCCGTTTTCCAAATGTTTGCTGATTTCATCCCCTTCTGTTTTAAGAGGTGTCTGGCGTTATCACCCTCCTGCTGTCAGTCACCGTGTGCAGCCTCACCACACCTTGCGTTGATAGACTTTCCACCTTTTGGCTTTCACACATTATTTTTTCTACTACATAGTCCAGTTGGGTGTGCCTGAGTGTGAGGTCAAAGTGAAAACCAAGACCAGGATCACTAACTAGATGGTGGCAAAACCAAGGCTAGAACCCGCAAAGCCCAACTCTTAACCCTTGGGTGTGTCCACTGTGCCGAGGCCCCAAGTGGCCTCCTGGAATGACCTCACCTGTCTGAGAGTGGGCTGGAGCCTCCAGGACTCTTACCGTGGAAGCATAGCCCAGTCAGTGAAGTTTCCTCCAGCACAGCCTCAGCTTATAAGTAACCTGTGATTGCTTCTAGCAATTGCTCTTTGCACAGATTCCATCTACCCAGGAGAGAAGGCCCTCTCGCTTCATTCCTCTCTTGTGCCGTGGGGGTGGGAGCCGTGCTGCCCACTGTCCCTGCCACCGTAGACCACTTGCCTTGTTACACTGTAATTGCCTGCTAATAGCTCTCTCCTGCAGGGCCAGGGCATGTCCTCACCGAGGACAGGAGCTGTGTTTCGGTTCTCTTTGGTGTCCCCAGCACTCGGCATGGAGCCTGGCACGTAGAGTAGGCTCTTAGGAAGTGTCTGCAGAGGCTGGAGGACAGGCTTTCTGAAAAGAAGTCTGTTTTTCCTAAAGCGTGGTCTGACCAAGGTCCTTCCCACTGCTGCAGATTTCTTTGGTAGAAAAGTATATTGAAGAACAGCTGGTGGAGCGGATTCCCGGGTTTAACATGGCGGCTTTCACAACAACTCTACAGTAAGTTGAACTTGACTCTGTTTTACCTTTTCCCCCTTCTTCCTTCTTTGCTCTGAAAAAAACATCTTTTTTTTTCAGTGCTTGAACATCAAGATTAGAGCACTTGGTGGCTAGGTCCTGGGTGGGAGGTCCTCAAAACCTTTGGATGAAATCTTGAAGAGGGTCTGTGTCATCATTCATTCATGAAACAGCCATCTTTTCTTTTGCAGGCACCATAAAGATGAGGTGGCTGGGGACATATTCGACATGCTGCTCACCTTTACAGATTTCCTGGCATTTAAAGAAATGTTTCTGGACTACAGAGCAGTAAGTCACTCTTGCCTCTTTAGTTAGCCACATTGAACCACTTAGAAAGTTCCAAGTAGGTATGGTGAGCACCCCCCCAACCCCCCATGCTTCTCCCTTTAGACTGGCCAGTGTCAGTCTGCAGCCAGCGAGGTGTCGGAAGAGGGAGCTGCTGTCCTCCTCTGGCCAGGACCCGGGACCCTGGCTGAGGAATTACATTCCTAAGTTTTGGTGGAACAGGTTCCAGGAACCTCCTAGGCTCCCTAAATAATCAGCACAGAACCACAAAGCGAGTCTAATTGCCTGGCCTTACTTAAAATGCAGGCACCTAACGGGGAGAACACACGTTCTTCACTGAAGAGAGGTGCATCTTTTTAAGAGCACCCGGGGCCGGTGCTGAGCAGAAATGCAGAACAGCCCCCTCCCCTTCCTGGGGCTCCCAGGTCCTCCTCCTGCCTGAGCGCTGCCTCCCTGCGCCAGGGCTGTTCTCAGCTGGAAGGGCGTCTCTTTCCTAGTCCTTGCCTCTTGAAGTGGTTCTTTTCTCTGTAGGAAAAAGAAGGCCGGGGGCTGGACTTAAGTAGCGGTTTAGTGGTGACTTCACTGTGCAAGTCCTCGTCCGTGCCAGCTTCCCAGAACAGTCTGCGGCCCTAGGGCCACCTCCAGCAACAGGGTCTTGCTGAGCGTCACCAGCCCGATAGACTGGGAGAGGCTTCGCTGATGATGACAGAAGAACCACCTTGGAAAGACAGACTGTGTTCTGTAACCAGCTCTTCCTTAATGTTAAGTATTGATGAGTCAAAAAGAAAGTCCCCTGACCCTCCTGGGACTGGTTCTCCTGAAATGCCTTCCTGTGCTCAGTGACCCGAGTCATCCTCCCCGGGTGGACCCTCTCTCAGGCTTGCTCGAGTCGGGCTCCTCTGGAGCAGGCCCAAGCCGGGCCTTCCTCTGGGCCCTTCCCCAGCACACATGTTGCTGTGTCAGCGTTTGCAGGAGCCCACCATCACCAGCCCTGTCTGGCCCACCAGGCTTCTCGTATGTGGCCGAGTTTCGGGCCTGCGGCCTCAGTGGGGTTTCAACTGTTGGGGAGCGTTTATCTAGGGTCTTACTCAAGCCAATGCCCGTCTGGAGATTTCTGAAGCTCCTGCCCTCCCAGCTGGTCCTGGCTGTAGGAATCACCCGAGAGAGTGTCCTTCACCTAAACGCTCCAGGAAAAGCCACTTCCTAGTCTGACATTTGCAGTCTCTATCACTGTCTTCTGCTGGTTCTCCTGTAGTCCCACTGTTTCTAGAATTCTCTTTTAAGCATTTTTGAAAAAGTATTTTTATAGATGAATACTCAGGCTCACCTAGTGGATATAATCTTGGAACTTCCATGATTACCCACTTAAAGATCAAAGTATTATATGCTGTGTGCTTGCTATTCGTGAGTGCTGTGAAAGCAGAAGTGCTTTCCGTGTGGGCGTCCTGGCCTCCTGGGCCCCCACGGACGTGCTGATGCAGGAGGAGACACGGTGGTCCCGTCTTAGAGCATGTTCAGTGTTTGTGCACGTTTGCTTAAACCCTGCCCGTGTCGCTGCTTCCTCAAGTTTTCTTTTGGGCGGGGGCTCTGCAGTTCCTTCCTGTCAGTGTTCATGCCCAGATGACGCTCCGCTGCCCAGCTCAGCACGAGCGGGCGGCAGACAGCTTCACTGCTCCTCTGTCTGCTTTCGTTTAGTGCAACGTCTGACAGACCATTACCGACCAGAAACATGGATGTCACATCTCTAGAAAGAAGAAAAAACATAGTAGTTCCATTCCCAGTACGTACCTTAGATTTTTTTTTTTTTTTAAGTAAAAATAAGAATCTGTCCTGACTTTTCACTTGGCTGTTCTGGTTTTAAAGGATGAGCTGTAGGCTGTGTTTTCCTGTACTAATGTGGCGCTTATTAAATACTTTTGTACCAGGAGTAAAACCGGAGGTGTTTTGCAAGAACCATCGTTCTAAACCATCCCTTCCGTTTCTTTACTTTCGCCGCTGCCATCGGGTGGTCTTTCGAGCCAGAGGCACGCAAATGCCACTCTCCACAATGCCCCCTCTCCCGGCCTTGCTTTCCCTTCTTGCTGCTCTGTAAACGGGGCTGGCCCCTGCAGGCCATGCCTGTGGGCAGTCTGCCTGGTGAGCAAAGGCAGGTGGACGAGTCTAAAGATGAAATCAGGAAAAGTGAACAAGAAGGCAAATGGGTTTGTTCAAAAAGCAAGCAAGCCTGTTGGAGCTTAAGATTAGAGACAGGCTTTCTGATTTCTTTTATAAAAAACTAGAAACCTGTCTGTCCGTCCACAGAGGAACTTAGGTCGTCACAGGACTCCTTCAAGGGGTCTCAGGCCTGGCGTGGGAGGAGGAAGCCCGACGTTCTGCCCAGCCGCAGGAGGCAGCTGCGCTCTCCTTTTGCTCAGGCCCCTCACCCGCGGGAAGCAGTGTTCACCAAACTGCGGGTCTGGGGACTATGGAGGCCTTGGCCTGGACCCGAAGGCAGTAGTTTGACTAAGCACACAAACGTCTCCGCCAAAATAGGCCGTGTTTTAGGGTCAGAAACCTGGTAAGACCTGCCTAGGATTTTGTTTTCTCTTGAGCCGCAAAAGAAAATGGGTTGATCTTCCTTAAAACTAAACTCTTTTCTTATGGCTTCATCCTCAAATGACTAATTTATTATTCAAACTCTGAGACACTTGACAGTAAAAAGGGATGCTATTGGTGTTTGCACCCGATGACAGGCATAACCCAGAACATGGGTACCTGACTCATCCCCATCCCTCTGGAAGGGTGTAGCTCATCCAAACTGTTTGAATCCAGTTACGTTTCAGTTGTTCTCAGTTTTTCAAAAAAGGACCAAGGGGAGTGTAGGAGTGCCTGTGGCTTATTCTTCAGAGCATGCTGCTCTGTGGCAGTGGACACTCGGCTCAGGCGGACTCGGCCCTGCCACTCTGCACATCTCGCGTGGCCAGGGACTGGTCACACGATCTCTGAACTTCAGACTTCCAAGGTCGCCGACGGTACGGCAGTCTTAAGTTCAGCAGGTTGCCCTGACTTACCTACCGCCAGGATGCTAGTGTGTGTGCCAAGACAGACAGCTGGTCGGCCTGCCTCAGGCCACCGGAGCGGCTGGGGGCGCCCTCTACAGTGGGCTTTTGGGAACCTTTGTAGTGTCCTCCCCATGGCTGCCTGGAGTTGATTAGCATCTACAACTGTGATTCCCCAACATCTTTTCCAAATAAGTTCTTCCATCTTTATTTTTGTAAAAAAAACCAAAAACAACAAAGTCACCACCAAGCACATGGCAAGTCACCGGGCGAGGTCTTGAGTCCCTCCCTCCCTCGTGTCCCGTGTGCCTCATCAATGGCCTCGGGGAGCAGTTGGCACCTGTCCCAAAGGGAATGTTACAGCCGGGGCTGGGAAAGGGCGGAACGCCTGGACGGGTGAACATCACTGAGACGTCGCTTAGAACCCATTTGCTTTAAGTAACTGGTACATTTGAAATGCAGGAAAGGAAGACCATGCTGTCAGGAAGCATAACACTCTTTCTACAAGTGTCTCTACACAGACATGGCTTGGGTGGGTGTCGGGGCAGAACTGTGTTGTAAGGAATCAGAAGGGTTTCATGAGCTTGCTCAGCTCTCCCAGAACAAAGACTGGGAGAAATACACGTTGCTTGTTAGGTGTATTCTGTGGTGGGTGAGGGGCGGCAGGTCTGGAGTCCTTGTTAGTGCATTTAGTGCTGGGGAGAAGGCTGGGCCCCAGCCTGGGCTCTAGAGTCCTCTAAAGACAAAGTGGAGACTGGGAGCCCCGTGTCCCCCGTCACCTGCTGAATGAGGGGGATGGGGAGGAGGGGTCTCAGCTGTCGGACTCTCTCCGGTCCGCACGCGTGCCGACTTGGGCCAAACCAGAGGAGGGATCCCAGTGCCTTAGGAGTGTCAGGCGAGCCTGAGTGACGAGCAGAGGAGCCAGTGTAGGCCCTTCCAGGCTGATCCACGCAGAGCTCAGGCCTCGGGCTTGCGGGCCACCCTGCATGGTGACCCAGCTGCAGCCTTCAGCCCCAAGGTGGGCCGTGGCACTGGCGTCTAGGCGTAGCCGCCAGCCATCTGACTGGTGGCCGCGTTGCTGCCCACTCCCCGCCAGGCCTGGAAGCTGAAGAAGGCGCTCGCTCCGTAGGCGATCATCACTAAACAAGCGAAGAACTGAAAGAGGGGAGAAGACAGGGCTGAGTCCTCTGCAGCAGGGCCCTGAACGGGGACCGAGACACAGGCGCCAGCCGTGAGGCCTGAGTGACGGGCCCTAGTCAACCGGAACAGCAGCTCTGGCAGCCACAGCATCCTGCTGAGCCGTCCACGCGTGAACAGCTGTGGGTGGCTGGCTGACGTTACATTCTTGTCGGGAAACCATTAAGCACACAGGCAAGGAATGTCCAACGATGACAAGGGCAAGTGGACAATGAGCCAAGAGCGACCCAGGCATGGGAGCACCATCAGACACACACCAGGGATTTAGTTTTAAAAAGGCAACATTCAGAAGTCACCCAGGAATTTTCTGGGGTCATTTCATGGGTGCCCTGCACTGGCACCCGGGCTGTACTTGGAAGCTCTGTGTCTCTAGCCCGGTGACCGAGTCCACTGATTTCAAAGCCATGGTCTACACCCTGCCCTAGCCTGGACTCATCCGAGGGTTAATTCACCTCTCTGAGCCTCAGTTCCCTTGTCTGTCAAAAGGGGCTGGTAGTCCCCGTCCTCCCCATTCGGGGAGGTCGGAACTGTCTGCGGGCCCTGGTGGAGTGAGGCCTGACAGGCGTGGGGGGACTGCTGTGACGTCACTGGCGACTTGACCTGGAGCCCAAGTTGTAAATCCCCCAGAATGGTTTAAACCAAAAGGTTTTGCATGTGCCTTCTTCAAGGCGGGGTTGCTGGGCGGGGGGGGGGGGGGGGGTGCGTCTGGTAGTTTTTAACATTCTCCAAGGGGGCGTATGACCCTAACTCAGTGTGTCACAGCTGATTCACAGTCAAGTTCAACAGTTAGCCCCAAACTTCCAGTCACTACCACAAAGTATTTCCCAAGCATTCTGGTTCCTCAGGGTTTCCTGTGAACTACGGAAGACAGAGCTCGGCTCCCGAGACGCACTGAGGGTCAGGACGGTCACTGGGGAGGTGGCAGGTGCCTGGCCTCGGACCGGGGTGCAGTGGGAGTCCAGGGGCACAGCCCTTGGTTTGGCCCGTCACCCCTGTGACTGGTGCGGGCGCCCCAGGACCCCTACTCACCGAGGCGGCTGCCCGCTGGTTGTACGGCCGGGTGCCCTTCAGGGAGGTCAGGTCAACCACAGCCGAGCAGGTGATGAAGGCCGTGATGTAGAGAACCGTGGCGCCCACGTTGAATATCATTAACTGGGGGTGAGGGAGGAGACAGACTTAAGACGGGAGCCTCTTCCTCCGAGTGGACCTCCCGGTTCCCACCGGCACACCCCTTTAGGAGCCAGAACCGCGGCTGGGGCTCCAGGATGGGGATGAAGACACTCAGCGTCTTTGCCACTGAAAGAGCCTGGAGAGGCAACAGTCCACACCGGGCCAGCCCGAGGCCATCTGAGCTGGGAGCATAAAGACACCAAAAGCTGAGGGGGAGGGAAACGATGGGAAGGCCTGAAGGGATCTGGTCCAGGCAGCGGCAGGCCCACGAGGCAAAACCTGCACTCGAAGGCAAGAGGCTGAACCAAGCCCACCTCCCAGTGCTCCACCTAGAGAACTCTGGGCCTCCCGGCCACCGTGGCTCAGGGCCAAGCCCAGCCCCCACTGTTGCCACTGCAGGCCTCAGCTCTGGGGCTGGCCCTGGGGGTGCCTTACAATCTCTGCCCCCAGGACGAGGAATTGTGTCTGCCTTTTGGCCACATCTTAGGCTCAAGGCTCCACATCAAATGCCAGGGGAAGGACCAGCAGGATCCCGAGCCAGACTGGCAGGAAAGGCCCTTAGCCGATGGCCAGGCCCGGGTCCCATTTCCCCAATGCTTGGCCCCTGAAGCCAGTTAACAGTCTTAGCACAGACTGCAAACTGGTGACCCTCAGGCATGTTTGGTTTGTCCCATAGATTTTTTTTTTTTTGAGGAAGATTAGCCCTGAGTCAACATCGGCGGTGCCCATCTTCCTCTACTTTATATGTGGGATGCCACCACAGCATGGCTTGCCAAGCAGGCCATAGGTCCGCCTGGGATCCAAACCAGTGAATCCCAGGCCGCCAAAGCAGAGCGGGTGAACTTAACCGCTGCGGCACTGGACCAGCCCCCAATAGTGTTTTGTGGTTTTTTTTTACCAAGATTCTCAAGGTAGATTTCATGTGAAAAGCTGCAAATTTCCCATAAAACTTTCAATCTTATATCAAGATCTGGCACCAAGGGGCCTGCATTCCCACGAACACCTGGTGGAGCTGAGCAGAGGCAGCCCTCTGGGGACAGATGGGTGCTGCGCTCTCCAGAACGCCTCCTGACCCCCTGGGCCCTGTAGGGGCTCAGCCCCTGGCCCAATCCCCAGTGTGGCAATCCTAATCCAGCCTGCCCCGTCTGTTGAGGGTCCAGGAGTGTAGGAGCCGCTGCCCTGCCTTCACAGCCTGGGGAAGGCGCCTCCTTTCAGCGCCAGCTGTGGCTGGAGCCCAGAATCTGTGCTAAGACACACAGTGTCCCCTCCATCTCCGGAGAGCTTTCTTTGAAGCTCCTGGGACAGGGGCAGGGCTGGACCCCGAGCCAGGAAGTCAGGCGGCCCCTCCTCGCCCCAAGATCCTGCCTGCAAGCCCGGCGCCCGCCGCAAAGGCTGCCTGGCTCCAGCCAGTGATGTCAAGATCTAACAAGCCGCCTCTGTCTCGAGGGTGACTCACGTTTCCTCAGCTTAAAAAGTCATTGAATTCCACACAATGCTGCCCAGTCCCAGGCTTGCTTGTCTTAAAAATCATGTGCCTCTCTCGCCTCCCAGCTCGCTGAAAGCCACAGGCCCAGCTGCAGGGGTTTTCCGGGTCACAGAATAAAACCCCAGCAGTTTTCTCTGCATCTGGCCAGGGTACGTCCTAAGGGTGCTCTCAGCCCCGGGTCGGAGGAGGCTGACCTGGGCCACCCTGGCCGCAGGGACCTCACCCTGGAGGCAGCCAGGTGGACAGCAGGGAGCCCAGCCTGCAGGTGCTGGGCTGGCCGGGTACCTCCCGACAGCTCAACCCAGCCTCTGGGTCTGCAGACCCTGCAACACGGGTCCAAATTCTGAGAGCCCCCGAAAGGAAAAATATTTCCGAGATTCCAAATGGCCTCCAGCCTCTCCATTCAACAGCCCCCACTTCTACTCCCTCCCCTGGAACAAATGAGGCCCGTGCCCTCCCCGGATCACGGGGCTCCATTAAGGCTCCCTCCCTGAGCCGGCTCTGCCAAGCCCCCGCCCCCGCCCCCGTCACTTAGGGAAGGGCAGAGTGGGCCCGCCACAGCTCCTCCCAGAGGCAGAGGGGTGAGCCTAGAGCCCCCCAGAGTCCCCACCCAGACTCACCACCAGCGGCCACGGCACCATATGCAATTTCATGTGCAGCTGAAACAGGTAGAGGATGAAGAAGACGATTGTCACCAGCCAGAGGAAGACAGCGACGAACATCACCCAGCCGTAGGCCGGGTACAGGTGGTACGGGGTGTCAGCAATCAGGGCCCACACCAGCAGCCCCAGCACCTGGAGGGGGCGAGACAGGGCCAGAGTCCCCCAGAGCCCCCCAGAGCCCCCACTCCAGCTGGAGGCCACAGGCCAGAGGCCTCTGCCATGGCGCTCCCTCTGCAGGACACACTTCTCATGAGCCAAGAAATATTTATTTGGCTCCTACTGTATACCACTGTACACCAGGCTTGCCTGCTAACTGGTACTCCTCTTTCAGGTCTCAGCTGAAATGCTACATGCTCCCCCGCTCCTCCAGGCTAGGTTCCAGAACCCTCTTCTGTGGTCACACGGCTCCCCAGGCACCCACCACCCAAGACCATAATTCTGTCTCCTTCCCCAGACTCTGAGCTCCCCAGGGCAGGACGATGACGGTCTCGCTCAGAGCTGCGTCCCAGCACCCAGCACAGGACCCAGACCGCGCCAGGGGCTTAGTAGAAGCTGCTGAAAGATGAAGCCCCCAGCACACCCTGAGAGACGGACATAGTCACAGAGTCCCAGAGGTGGGAAAAAGAACCGTGTGTGTCCTCCCCCCACCCCCGGGCCTCTGGGTGACCTCCACCTGGCCCCCACCAAGCCCTCTCTACCCACCTTCTCTGACTCTCCCACCTGCCCCTCTATACAGGTATTACCATCCCTGCCTTACAGGTGAAACCCAGGGAAGACCACCTTCTTCCCTCAGGGAAGCCAAGGGACCTGTCACATGGTTCCCACGTGGCACAGTGGGCCCTGACATCCCTCAGTGTGTGTAGTGGCTAACAGCACGGACTCTGGAGCCGACCGCCTGGTTTTAAACCCCACTCCCCTGAGCAGCTGTGTGACCTTCGGCCAGTTTGCAACCTCTCTGTGCTTTGGTCACCTATCTGTAAAATGAGTACAATGACCATACATACCACATAGGGTTACATCGAGGACCCACGAGTTAACGTATTATTGTTTTATTATTCCCAGCTGGATGCGCTGAGCCCACCCCAGCCCTCAGGGCCACAGGAAATTCTACGGGAACAGGTTGGCCTGGCCGACTGCCCTCATGGGGCCACTTGCGGGAACTCGGCAGGGTGGGGCCCAGCAGAGGGTCCGCTCTGAGGCGGGGCCCACAGAGCTCAGGGGAAGCCCACCAGCGCCACCTCCCATGCTTCCGGCATCTCCCCTAGCCTCTCCTCGCTGGCTGAGCCCCTGGGCTCCACAAGGGCAGGCTCTGGAATTCCTGGCCAGCTGGGTGTGACTCGGGTCTGACCAGCAAGGGGAAGGACAGTCTTTGGCCCACTATGCGGCTTTGGAGAAAGGCTCTTTTGCCGACGAAGGCGCACAGAGAGTGTGCCCCACATCCAGGCACGTGGCACCAAGGCTCACAGTGCCTTTGCCCCCAGCCCAAGGTCGAGCCAACCATCAGTCGGATCGCAGAGATGCGCTCAGGAGCGAGACCCACCTCTGGCTGCTGGGTTTGGGGACAAAAAGTCCCCGTGGCCGCAAGCTCCTAGACCAGACACCAGAGAGCTTGCGCTGACCCCGGAGCACAGCCAGAGCCGGGTGCCTGCTGGGCACCCCCCACCCCAGGGCACCTCTGCCAAGAACCAACAGGGAAGTTTCTGTACCAATCCCCCAGCACTCGCGGGGTCAGGCCAGGAATGACCTGAGCTGAGCGGGTAGAGCCAGTCCCTCCAACAACAACTTCCCTTTCTCCTCTTCCTGCCGCTCCCCACAGGAGGCTGGGGAGGGGTGTGGTGGCTTCTCTTCCCACAGCACCACTGGGATGGGGAGGCGGTGCCCTGGGTCGGGCGTCAAGCGCTGGGCTTCGATCCTGCCCGTGCTGAGGGGGCACACTGGGCGAGCACCTTCCCGCCTGTGCGGCTCACCTGGGCGACTCCAGTCCACCCGCCAGAACGCAGGCCCAGGGGAATCCTGCTTCCGTCACTGTCGTGTCTCCAGTGGCAACAGGGCTTAACATGGCGGCTGCCCAATGAACACGTGCTCCGGAGCTAACGGGCCTCGGTTTCCATGGAATAGGGGTGGGAGATGTGCCCTGCAGAGTGCTGTGTACTACAGAGGAGGCAGGTGTGCATTGGGGAACCTCCCTCCACCCAGGGAAAGGTGTCAGCCCAGGACGTGGAAGCCGAGGAAGGCCCCCCTTCTCTCCTGAGCTCAGCACGCCTCCTCCCTACCGGGCCGCGAGTCCCCAGGGATCCCGCGCTGCACCCTGTCAGCCTCAGCTACCGCCTTTGTGCTCTCCTGCAACCACTGCAGTGAGGCTGGTGGCGGCCCGTGGGGCCCACTTGCGGGCGAGGACGGTGGGACAGGTGGCAGGGCCTTGGGGACAGTCACACAGGCTGGGGACAGAGCCCTTACCTTACCAGTGAGGACCTGGAGCTGGGGTGTCTCCGCACAGCCCCCACACACGTCTACCCCCATCCTTAGGACAGACCCCTGCCTGACATGGACACGTGGGGGCCGAGCCCCCGGAGCTGGGTGCAGGAGAAGAAGCAGCCCCCAAGCAGCAGTGGCAGCTCCCTCCCAGCAGGGAGGGGCACGTCAGGGACAATCCTCTTGTCATGTAAAGCAAGGTCCTGAAGGGCCTCCTCGCCATCCTGCGGCCTGCTTCCAACTATCCGAAAGCAATTAGAAAACGCTGTGAACTGAAAATCAAGAGAAGACCAATTCGGGTTTACACTAACGGACGCCTGTCAATTATCAGTATCATTACTCACAGACTTGGTCACAGACACCACCTGACCCTCCGGCTCTCTCTGCGCCAGACCTCAGGCAAGCGCCCCCCTTTTCTGTCATTGATTCCCCCGTCACCCTCTCATCAGTCATCACTATTTATTATCCCCACTTTCCAAACAGAAGCTCAGAGGGCGATGAGCGCGGGGTCACCCGTGGGTAAAGGGCAGGGCAGGACTTGAACCCGGACCTGTCCTTCTCTGGAACCTGGGAGCTGCTTAGCATGTGCACAGAACGAGGACACTTCGGCTGGCACCAAGGGCCAGGCCCAGCTGGCACCGGGCTCTCACGTGCCTGCCCTACCCTCCAGCCCAGCCCTGGTTTCCGGATGAGCAGGCGCAGCCTCTGGGCGATGAAGCTGCCGGATAAGCCTCAGGAATGTCCAGCGCTCCTCCTGGCTTTGCCGCCCTGGCCCCGAGCCCAGGGAGCTGGAGCAAGGAAGGCCCGTTCCTCCATGGGAACCAGCCCGACTGGTTTTTCCCCATCCCCTCCCTCCTAGCCCCAAGAATCTGAAGGGAGTGCCCCAGCCCAGGGCCCCAGGGAGACCCTACTCAGGACAGGGCACCCCAGACTTGCTGGCCTGGGTGGCCCTGCAGGGGAGGCCGGGCCCAGGCTCATCTCCAGAAGCTGCAGGAGCCGCTGACCCCTCCCTCCTGCCATGGACCCGGAAGAAGGGGCCCGAGGACTTGTCTTCCGGTCCCGTGTAGAACGGTGAACCGCACTGTCCAGAGGAAGGCGGACACTGAAGGGCAGGGCCCGCCTGCCACCTGCCTCCAGGGCTTGCCCAGGACAGTCGCCCCACAGCTCCAGCTCCCCTGCCCTGAGCACAAGCCTCGGCAGCTGCCCCTCCGGGCTCAGCCGTTCAGCAGCAGCTCCGAGCACGAGCACCGACGGCAGTGAGGGCCGAGCCCACGGAAGCCCTGGTCCCGGCACCCGCTCCCCAAGCCGAGACGGGGGTGAAGACGACGGGCAGTGGGGACACTTGCAGTGTTAGAAAGAGGCCAAGACAGATCTCCCTGGAAGGTGACAGTGATGAGAATTATTTTAGGCCGGTTAATTTTAAACTGCAGATGAGAGGCAGGCTCCGAGGACTGGAATTTGCTTGTCCTTTGAGAGACATTTGCATTTGTGAAAGAAGGGAGATGACCTTGTCTCTAGAAACTCTTAATGGGGAAGGCAAGAACTTAAGTTGGTTACTGTCTGGCAATCTCATGTAACTGATTTAGGGTGGTGGCTTCTGACCTTTACTTAATCCGATCTGATTCTTATCTAAAAGTCATGGGATCACCCAATAGCCAGACCCCACCTGCACTGATACCATTTTAACTTTTTTTCATGTTCTTTCCTTTGTCTTGTAAAGAGATGGCTCACATACCTATGCCTTAAATTTAGCCTTACACTCCACTCATGTTTGCAGCAGAAGCAGCAGCAGCAGCTCTGACTGCCCGTGGGTCCTGTCCCCATGCTATTCCACACTATTCTCTAAATAAAAGAGCACTACTACCAGATCTTGAGAGTCCAAGAAATCTTTCTTTCGACTCCTCGGCTCACCGACCCCGCATCAACAGGAGAGCAAGGACGGAGGAGGGCGGGAGGGGCGGAAGGGGAGCCGCGTGGGAATAGCAGAGCTCCGCCTTGACCTCTGGGTCTGTCCCCTGCCGACAGTTCACCTGTCCCGTTTCTCTGTAGGTGTCCACACAGACATCTGTGTGTCTTACCCTTAAAGACACACATACACAGAACCAAACCCTCACTCCTTCTAAACTTTCTGAGGCCTCCTCAGGCAAGCGCTACAGATAAACAAAGAGAATTGTCTAGAAATCTCGAAGGTGCAGGACCTTTTTTTTCTGAAAACGTATAGATTTTGCATTAGGGATTTTCTCTTTAAATGAGGACTGTCAAGGACACATTCACGTACGCCCCAGGACCTTTGCACCTCCAAAAGAATTTCTAAACAACTGAATAACAGCTATTTTTGTTAAAATCACCTGTAGGACCAGAGAAGAAAGAGATGTGTCACAAAGACCATACAGAAAGGCATTCCTCAATAGCGGTGGGCCCTAATCCAGTGACTGGTGTTCTTATAAGAGGGAAATTGGACACAGAGAGACACAAAGGGAGAACGCTGTGTGAAGATGGAGGCAGAGATAGGAGTGATGTGTCTCCAAGCCAAGGAGAGCAGCCTGGAACAGATTCCCCTTCAGAGTCTCCAGGAGGAACCAACCCTGCTGACACCCTGGTCTTGGACTTCCAGCCTCCAGAACGCGGAGACAGTCAATTTCTGTGGTTTTAAGCGCCCT